GAAACAATGTCTGCCCTGGCAGAGGTCATGATTGACTTTGGTGAGAATAGTTTTAATGAAACAGTGTGTGAAGCCAGATTGGAATGTGGTGGGCAGAAAGTGGAAGGTTAGGAAACGCAGATAGTGATTGCAGAGAACTTTTCCAAGAGCCTCTGCTGAGAAGGGCAGGAAAGCTGATAGCAGAAGTTGGCTATGGAATGGAGGGAGGTTTGTTTTGGTGTTCATTTGCTTGCTTTTAAAGTGGAAAAGGATTTCATTTTATTATCACGGAAGGAAGAGATGAAGACAGTAGTAAATTAATAATGTAACAGAGAGGAAATAATCAAAATAAGAAATCGTAAGAAGGCCAAGGACATAGAACCCAGTATGGTCTAGGTCTGGGAGGAGGTATGTCAGACTGTTTTGCGTTGCTATAAACTGGAATATCTCAGAATGGATAATTTATAAAGAGAAGAGGTTTACGGTGCTGCGGACTGTACAAGGAGCATCACACCAGCATCTGCTTCTGGTGGGGACTTCGGGAAACTTCCAATCGAGGTGGAAGACAAAGGGAGAAGCAGGCTGGTGCCATGGGGAGGAGTGAGAGAAGCAGGAGGTGTTTGCAGGCTCCTTTAAATGACCAGCTCTGTGTGGCCCAATAAGATGAGGAGGGCACCCAGTCATTCCAGAGGGATCTGCCCCCATGACCCAAGCACCTCCCACTTGCCCCCTCCAACACTGGGGATGGAATTTCAATGTGAGACACAGAGGTAACCATCCAGTCTATATCAGGAGGTAACTCTCTTCCTTTGAGACACCAAGGCAGAAGTAAAGGACTGATAGGAATGGGAGTAAGCTGGTATACTGGACTGGCTGCTGGAAATCCAGCCCAACAACTTTTACTTCCCTTGGAAGCAGGAGTTAAGTTAGATGCTTTGAGACAAGAGGACATGAGATTAAAGAGAGGGGAGTAAGTGGGAAAAATGAGAAAAGGAAAAGGTATTATAGAAAATAAAAATTAATTAAAGTAAAAGAAAACACAGCAAGATCACAGGGCAGTGCTAAGCACCCACAAGATCCTGGCAGGTATGCATCAATTGTACGATGTTTTCTAAGAGTGTCTGGCCACGCAGGAGGAGCAGTGTTTTAGGGTAAGTGTGATTTCCATGCAGGGAAAGAGGTGGAGAGAGTTCCCAGAGAGGTTGTTAGGGGATACTTCATAGAGCCACTGAGCCCATGTTTTTCTGTTTCAAAGAGATGGTGGAGGTGGGCACCATTGTTTGTCCTGTAGGGCAAAGTAGCCTTCAATCTCTCCAGCTTCTGACATCTGTCAACCTTGCTTTTCTCTCTTCTGGACTTTTCCTTTCACACTGTTTATGCTGACAAGGCAAAAGAAAACTCATGGATTATGACACACAAGCACATGGGATGACCATGACAGGACATGAACAAGCTGTGGAACCAGATCTCCAGCTTCTGAGGATAACTGAGACTGTGTGGAGGCCCAGGGAGCTCATCGCGAAAAACAGCTTAAATCAATTCAGTGTCACTTTATCCCTAAGTACTGAGGGCTTTTCTTAGCTGGCGATTAAGCAGGGATAGATACTTAAAAGCAGGTGGACAACGTCACGTGCACATCTTTCATCTCATTACAGTGAACGTAGGTTTCTGTTTCTCTTTTCTATAATATGGTAATATACAAGTCCATCTTTATAGAGCCTAAAGTTCTTACTCGAGTGTTTAGCATCTTATTAACACAGTAAGCAAGGCATTCTCCTTTCAAGTCAACCAGCCGATGGATGTTTTCCAATCACTTTCCCAGCTCTCATAGTACCTTGGTAAATATTTGGTGAAAGTCCACAGTGTAATTTGAAATCCTTCTCTATACTTCCACCAGGTTATACAGTTCCAAAGTCTGTTTATTCCAAAAAGACATTTATCCTTAGTTTACCTGTAACCTTTGTTTTTATACTGTGCCTTTTTTTACTCAATAGCCAAGTTAAACGTAGCGCATATTGTTATTCTTACATAACACACTGTCCTCTCCTTTACACCTTAGGATTTTGTTGTGACTATGCATAATCCTTGTTTGTCATTTTGCAAAAAAATTGACTATCTTGGATTGGTGTGAAATTCCAAATTTCCATCTTTAAAGATCCTGGAACTGAAGTAGGATTGTATGTTATCTAAAATGAAGTATTTCCTGATCATAACAAAGGCCTTGCAATAGGAAAGAGGGACTTGATCGAGTTTAATACTTTGTTGCCACCTTTTCTTATAACTTCTGAAAGCAGTCCTGGGCTTAAATTGAAAGTTTAGAAAGACAGTTGAATTAGGCTTACTTTAACTCTAGCCTTACTATAAGGAACTATAAATGCATAAATCTTCTTTTTTTCTCCAACATTCATAAAGAAGCTGATTTGTGGAAAATCACTCTCGGGGTTTTGTGTTAGAGGATGTGGCTAGACTCACTGACTGAAAATATTTTCTTGATCATTTAACTTCAGATGCTTTGGGTTACTTTATCAAAGAGCTGTTGACCAAATGGTAAATTTAATGAGGTTTCCCTGAAAAACACACTATCATGGGTGGTGCTGTGGCTCAAAGGAGTAGGGCGCCAGCTCCATATGCCAGAGGTGGTGGGTTCAAACCCAGCCCCGGCCAAAAACTGCAAAAACAAAACAAAACAAAACAAAAACAAAAACACTATCACAATGGATCGTAACACTCTGATGCACGGGATACGTAGTACAGGCGAGCAGTGACCTTACATTTTACTGACATACAGTTGTTCTTGAAATCAAAGTGCTATGGTGTAATGAACCCAGACACGCCTTACATGCTTTACTGTTCTTAAAAGTGAGGAAATCTTGATGTAGGAGGACTTTAAAACAAAGATAATACTTGTACGTACTCTGAAGATGTCCACAATATTCAGTAGTCCATTTCAGCTCAAATCCATTTCCAGGTATCCGCTTGCTCAGGACATGGGAGCTACTTTTTGCAAATTCTTCAACCTAGCATTCGAAGTCTTCTACCAGTTTCCCCCTCTAACAAGTCTCCTTCCTTTCCTCTGCTTTCCTCATCAGGCCTCTCACAACTGTCAAAACGGTTCGCTGCTTTTTCCTATGTAGATCCTGATGTTTCTTGCCTCACTGTCTTGGAACAGGCCATTCCTTTCCCTCTTTGTATTTGTGCCAATTCATTTTCCCTATCGTAGGTTGACATCTTTTTCTTTTTTTTGTCTGATAAACAAGTAAGTAACTTTAATAATCACATAGCTTCAGCTCTGCTTTCTTTATGTATGAAATCTGGAGTGATACATTATATTGTTATGTTTCATCTATGGCACTTTGGCCAAGGCATTTAAATTTATTCTGTTTCTGTATTAACACCAATGCTAGCTTGTTGCTATGATTAAATAAGGTAATGCATGTGAAGTATTTAGAACAGAGCTGGGAGCTTACTAAATATTATTATTGTACTAAAGTAAATACATTTTTCACTCATAATAAGTAGCTGGATCTTCTATAAGCCTTTCCTTGTGCTTAATTCACCCAGAATAATACTTCTTTTAGAAAGGACTTACTGAGCTCTCTGGATAACAGAGAACACTGAGACCTGTGTCCCCTATTAGTTTAATGTTTTAGTCACATGCATTTCATCTCCATTCTCAGGCTATTTAAATTTTCATATCTTTTAAAATATTAGCTATAAAATGGTTGATGGTTGTTGATTTTAATACAGATGTCAGTTAAGGAAGTCATATTTTTGACACTCTGAGCAGTCTCTGGCATGCATGAAGCACTCAAGAAATGCTTTCATCACTATGTTTCCTTTTGTTGTGACTGTCCAGGGTGCTTCCTCCTTTTTCTTTTTTCCTGTTCTTCCAAATTCAGTAATTAAATTGACTTAAAAATAAGGTCTGGAATGTTTAAACGCTTTTTAAAAACATTTCACAATATATTTATTAAGTACAAGTCAGCAATACTCTAAAATTATTATCTTTTTCACTTACAATTTGCTTATTTATGACATCCTCATTTTTGAGATAATCTTTTAAATTGGGAAAGCTAACGGAAAATGAAGTAGCTTACCAGATGCTTTCATTAAAAAAAAATTGTTTTTAGCACATCTGTGAAAATCTTCTAAATGAATTCACTAGGTACTTAGAAATCAATAAAGGCTGAGCATTGTACCATGTGTTAATATTAACATCAAAAACTGGAGCTCTGAAAAGGTTTTGCTGGCCATATTGGATTACTTTAATTCCATGTCTTAGAAATACAAAACTGCATTCTAAAAGAAAACAAAATGTTTAGTAAAAGACTTTATTTTCCACAAATATTTTACCCAGTAAAAGGCAGCTTCAACAAGGCAAAATTTTTTACCATGTGCTTATTGAAATTGAAATAGTAAAAATTTTAAAATAGCAAGAACTTGGGGCTAAAAGAGGTTTCAAATATTTTCCTTGAGTTTCTTTTCTTTGGAAATTTCATGTTTCTCCAACCCAAACATTAGCATGAAGTACTTTTACGTTATAATTTTTAAACTTATCAAACAAAATAATTAAAGGTTTTGTTTTTGGCTTTGGGCACGAGGTCGTTTCCAAAGACATGTCTGTGAGACACTCAGCATTCTGCTGTGGGCCTGTGACTCTGAGAATGAGACTGGGCGTTGAGCCACAGTATTGTCTCAACACCCTGGCAGGGTCATCACTTTTCACTTTGGACTGCAGTCTGCATCTCTCGCGTTGCTCCACACTTCACCAAGACTGCAGTCAGCGGAGCCGACAGACCCGACTCTGCAGGGAGTAACCGAGACGCGTGTGCCCGGGCGTCAGGCGGAAGTCTGGGACCCGGGTCACTCCGCGGGGCGGGCCTAACGCCCAGAGCGCACCGCGCACCGCGCTCCGCGCACCGCCGCGCGCGCAACCGCCCCGAGGCGCCGAGTGGGCGGAGCCTCCGGGCCGCGTTAGCGCCGCCGCTGTCGCTAGGGACGCTTCAGCCAAGGCAACCGCAATGGAGCTGGAGGAAGGGATGACGGCGGTGGACAATATAGTCACTCAGTTCAACACCTATGAAGATTTCCTCGACTCACAGATCACTACCGTGGACTTGTACTACCTGGAGGTAAGGGCAGCGGCGCGGCAGAGTGGCCGGCGCCTTCGGGTCCCTCCTGTCTCCTCCAGTCCCCGCGCCGGGGAGTGCTCGCCCCCTGGCGGTGCCCCGCGCGGGGTGCGGGGCTCCGCGGTTTGGGGACAGAGGCACCAAAAGGTGCGCGGGGGAACCGCCAGGTCCCTTCCACGCCTTGCTGCCCGGGTCTGCGCCGAATTTGGACCCCTCGTGTCACCCGGCCGCGCGGAAACGCGCGCGCGCACAGACACAGAAGCAGCTGCGTCTGGAAATTCTGTGGCTCTGCCTCACTTGACTCTCCCAGGGCGCTCTGCTTCCCAAATCGTTCTCTAGTAGGAAAGAGGCCTGCTGAGAATCTTCAGGTGGGTTGTACGTAATTCAGGACGGGACACCCTGTCCTTCCTTTGCCAATTTGTATTAAAGAACAGAAGATGGTACCTTTTGAGGGCAAGTGGCAGCACCAACCTGTGTATTTGGTGTCATATTGGGCATTTGGTTTCCTAAACCTACACCAAAGGCTAATTGATTCAGAAGCCTTTAATTACCGGGACGAATCCCGGTGCGGTTCCATAGTCCTGACTCAAGTTTGTCAAGTTGGTGTCCACAACTAACGGTGATAGTAATAGTACAACGACCAAAAAAGGCGCCAAATGGGGGGACCTAAGGGTTTGTTGTTTAGTGTCCAGCAGTCCCTCCCCTCCCCGTTACCCCTGCTGGAGAGGTGGGAGGCAGTAGAGATCTGATCTCTGCGAAGAAAACGCAGACCCGCGGGCAAAGAAGCCGCTGGTCCCGAGAAGCTGGGTGGTGGGCGGTGGGTCGCAGGGCCCTGGTGTATTCCCAGACAAATTCCGGCCTTGGCAACTGTAATCGACAGGCACCGACCTGGGATTCAGCTGACTCGGCCTCCGCGCAGGACCCAGTATTGTGCGCTCCTTATTTAGGCCCGAGAGAGAACAAGCGCCTCTACGTGGCGCCAAACCATTTTCTATCCTGGGCACAGCTTGGGTCCTGCTGCCAAACCTTCACGCTTCCAGTGGGCAGCAAGGTAGCTGCATTTTAGTGGATTAACATTTTTGGATTCCACAAGTCAGGTCAGAGCGAGATTTCACTTACGTGTGGATTACAAATTTCAGAAGTGCTTATTGTTCAATACACATTTATGTGTTAGATATGGAAATAGTTTTAAGGGAACAAAACATCTCATGGTAGCCCCATTTCGCTGCAGATAAGTTGTGTGACCTTGGACAAATAAATTGACCTTTCTGGGAGTAGAGGTGGTGTTATCACTGTTGGTGGGACTGCAGACTAGCACGACCTCTATGGAGAATCGTATGGAGATATCCGAAGAACTTAAAGTAGAACCGACATTTGAGTCAGCATTCCCACTGCTGGGTGTATACCCAAAGGATAAAAGGTCATTCTACAAACAGGAAACCGGCATTGGAATGTTGATAGCAGCACCGTTCACAATCGTAAATGAGTGGAAACAACCCAACTGCCCATCAATACATGAATGGATTAATAAAATGTGATGTCTGTATACGATGGAGTACTTACCATTCAGCCATTAAAAAAAATGGTGATCTAGTATCTTCTATGACAACATGGATGGAACTGGAAACCATTCCTCTAAGTGAACCATCACAAGAATGGAGAGGCTAACACATGTGCTCAATATCTAATTGGGACTGATTGATCAAATCAACACTTAGAAGCCAATCTCAGTGCCATTCAAGCTGGAGGGGAGGAGATGGGTAAATCACAGTGGTTAGGTACAGTGCACACTAGCTGGGTAAGGGGCACACTTATAACTTTGACTAAATCTGTGCAAAAACAAAGTAGGCAAACCAAACATGTACCCCCTTAGTATTCTCACATTAAAAAAATAAAAAGAAATGTAGGTGATATTTCCAATATAGCTCCTGGCTTCAAACACATTTTTGTTATTTTATACAGATAATATAGTTAAAGTCATGAACAGCCTTGCACTTAAGACATTGGAGTGAAGGGAAAAGGTTAATGGTGCAAAACAATATTTGCTTTCGAATTTTGGGATGTTTAAATCCACAAAAATGGAATACAGACACATTTTGATAGAATAAAATCATCTTTGTAGCACCTGTGGAAGATTGGCAAACTTAAGCCTAGCATCATTAAGGAAGATTTCAGTATTTTTTAAGGCACAGTTTCTCATATGAGCAAGGAATAAAAGCATTGTTGATTAAAGGTGAGAAATTAATACTTGTGCTTTATCAATTAGTACTTTAACATTCTCCCAAATGAAAGATAGTGACCATATTTGAGGGAATGATAAATTTAATTTTAAATTTGGCATTGATTAGATTTATTGTATTAATACTTTCATAAAAATGAGATGGAGATTTAGTTGACTAATGATAATGAGGCAAGTATGTTTTTTTATTGGATTTATTAATGACAACTTTTAAATTAGTTCTGGAGACCTACATTCTGTGCATGCAAGTTAATTGCCCACTCAGGTCACACAGAAACAAAAAGACTCTTTAGAATTCCATCAGCAGCATGGCAAACATATTTCATGAACTATGGATCATATGGTATGTGAGGTGATCCTTTCTCTCTTTTCTTTTTTGGTTTGAACAATGCAAAATTTCAAACATTTAACTGACACAGTTATGGATAATTATCATGTACAACATGATGTTCTGAAATGCATATACATTGAGGAAAGGCCAGACGGAGCTAATTTACATGTATGACCTGAACACTTAAAGTGTTGCCGGAACGCTTAGAGTCTTCTCTCTTGATATTTTTAAAGAATAAAATATATTGTTTTTAAGTATAGTCACAATGTTGTACAATAGATCTCTTGAACTTTTTTGAAAGGGACAAATTTTAAACAGTATATTAGAGATAGCATCTTAGAGTTCAGAGTTATGAGATTTGGATTCTAATTCTACAATATTGTGTTTTTAATCCACTTGAAATTCCACTTTTTAACCTACAAAGTGAAGGCATTTGACTAGATTACACTTAAAGTCCTTTATGTCTGTATAATTTTATGTGTCATCTATCCACACTTCTGTCTACTCCTGCATTCCTGTTTTTATCCAACCATCCGCTTAGTTCATAATCCTTCACCAAAGGCCTGCAATAGTAGAAACTACCTTAATTGCTAAGAATTTAAGGAAGAATCTGTTCTAGATTGGACCTCAACAGCCTGACTTTAGTATAGTGCTTACGGTCCATCTAAGTTGCATTCATTCAACTAATATTGTACAAGTATTTTCCATCTTTCAGGTACTCTTTTATTGTGTAGCATATTCTTCTACTGCCAAAAGTTTTCAATTAAAAAAATTAATCTCAATGACTCACATACAAAATAGCCGTATTCTCTGTGTTGGGTCTATCCTCCAGACTTCCCTACTTCTACCTGTGCCCCCTGGAAGATGACCACCAGGTCATTAATCACATCCCTTTGGCTTTGAATTTGTTTCAGCCCATAGGAGACATCAGCAGGGGATCAGAGGGCTGGCAGGAAGTGGTTAGAGGATTTATTCCTTGTCATCCTCCTGCTGGCTGC